GTAATATTATTCAATAGTGTGAAGTGTGATATATTTATATAATAAAATGTGTGAATCATCGCAATACTTTAAATTATGGTGTGCATATTAGTGATTCAATTATGTTCATAAAACAATAAACAAATAATTTTGCTGTTATTGCACTATATACTCAGGTTATATATAAGTATCTGAATGTTTTGTTCACCTTAAGGAACCATTTAGTTGGCATGGTGTCATACCAATGAGGAATGGCCCGCCACACACTGGCCAGCCAATGCTGCCTCCTTCCCTCCCTCCCTCACCTCACTCGCCAACATTCCTCCTCCCACCATAGTGTGTTTGCTTTTATTCACCATATACAGACGTTATATGTAAATGTCTACATGTTTTATTCACCATAACTGTAAATCTAAGCTGGTATGCTGAGTTCAGATAGCAACAGAGGTTTGCCCCACATCCCAGCGACGCCACAGCTCTGGCATCGCTGGTGGAAGTACTGTAGGAGTACCCAAATGAGCCAGAGATATTAGAAAGAACTTTTTCAGTGTCAGATTAGTTAACAGAAAGAATGCTGATGGCACTGATGTGGTGGAGGCAGACTCCATACACAGTTTCAAATGTAGATATGATAGAGCCCAGTATACCCAGGACTCTGTACACTAGTTGATTGACAGTTGAGAGGTGGGACCAAAGAGCCAGAGCTCATCCCCCACAAGCACAACTAGGTTAATACAACTATGTGAGTACAGCGTCAGCTGAAGCTGCCTCCCCTCCCTCTAATGTTCAAGGCCAGATGCACTAACATTCCTCCTTCAACCATACTGTTCGTGGTGTTATTACACTATATACACACACGTTATATATAAGTATCTACACGTTTTGTTCACCATAACTGTACTGTACAAATAAGCTGGTATGGTGAGTTCTGACAGCAACAGAGGTTGCAACACACAGCTGTTGCTGCCTCCCTTTTACCAAGATTCCTCCTCCCACCATATTGTTTTGCTGTTATTACACAGCACAAACAGTATGAAGCAACCTCCCTCCCTCCCTCAGCATTATTGTTCCCACCATATTATGCACAGTGCTGATTATCACAACACTCCTGCTGTTATCAGAATCCTGGTAATTTTTATCACAGTCAGAAGTCTTCTATAATACTATCATCGCTAAATAATACCAGTTACATAATATACAGTATTTTTACATTTCTGAGGGGAGCCCCGTCGGCTCCCCAGAGCTATACCGGGCTGATATGCTAATGTTAGACTTTGGCATCAGTCATGGATATGGAGTTCTTATGGGCCTACCGGGGACCACGGCCAGAACCTGGCCCCCTCAGAGAGGCAAGGGGAGCAATAGCATATAGAAACCCCCGTGTGGTTGGAAGCATTCTATGTCTGCCATCAACCGGGTCAAACATCCAGAAAGGTAAGCATCCCAAAACAAACCCCTATTCTGGTAAAAATTGCTACCAAAAGCTGAACTAGTGGATAGAACTCCCCAACAGAAAACAAGCAAACAAGTATGACGTCACACGTCACCGCGCCGCTGTCTGCGTGCTCCCCCCCTCCCCGGGAGGGGTGGAGCCCCAGACCTCTCACGCCAGCTATCTACCCATCAGTTCTTCGGCTGATGCTAAAGGCACTGGTTGTGTGCTCCGGCTCCAGTGGTTGTTTCAGCACTGTACCTAGAGTGTGGTGTCTGTTTTCTAGGTGGTGCGTGAGCTGGGAGTGAGTCTCCAGTACTCGGACTGCATGCGCCTAAGGTTGCCATCTCTAGGTGCCCTGTAAGTACTGCCCTTGGGGCTTGGGGTTACCTTCCACAAGTTCCTTGGGTCCTGCTTCTGCTAGGCCGTCTACATTTTGGTTTTCGGCCACCCTTTGTGTGATGGGGGTTCTGTCTCCCCTTGTTCGCCTTAGGGTATGGGGCAGCTTGCATTGGTAGGGGCACAGGGTACTGCGCAGCTTGTTTCCACCAATCATAGCAGCTGGCTCTGTTCCGCCTGGGTACGCTGTCCTCTTGCAGGGATTTTCTTTTTCCTTTTTGTTTGTCTACCTGGTGGGGGGGTCTGCCGTTGGTTCTTGGCCCCTTCGGACTGGATTCTTTTCCTTCTTTCTGTGGTTCCCCCTGCTAGGTCCCCGTGAGTGTACACGTCCTGGGGGTTCAGTTCTTAGAAGATTGTTTGGTAGACATGGGCGCCGGTTAGCAGTACCCTGCCTGGGATTTCCTGAGCACGAGTCCTCTTATAGTAAACGCTCAGGACCCTGGGAAACCCCTAGGGGGAGTGTGGGCCCGATGCATGTGGCCCTGGAGTCCCCCCCTCGCTTTGTGCGAGTTTGAGGGTTGCTCTGTCCCCCTTGTCTCAGGGTGACACTCGCTGTTTTGCCTCCGTCAGCTGCCTGTGGGGTTGGTGACACCTTTGCCCCAGGGTCCTGCGAGTTTTGTTGCTTGCTGTGGCTCGGTTACCCAGTCTTCTGCTGAAGTGGGTGTAGGCAGCACGGGCGTTGCGCGTTACGTTTCGGTGGCAACGCGCTAGGTTGTTTGCTCTCCGGAAACCCCGAGGCTGCCCCGTTTTGGTTGGTGGTCTTGTCGGGTCCCCCCCTTCCTTCACGGGGACCTATATAAATTCTATGGCCTATAGAACCATGGGGAATTCTATAGGCCATTGCTCCCTTTGCCTTTCTTAGGGTGCCAGGTTCTGGCCGTGGTCCCCGGTAGGCCCTAAGAACTCCATACACATGACTGATACCAAGGTCTGACATTAGCATATCAGCCTGGTATAGCTCCGGGGAACCTCCGGGTCTCGCCCAGAAAATGGCTTTTCATTACATTCAACAATGGCTTTTTTAAGCAATGCTATGGTCACAAGCTGAACAACAATGCTGTTAGCTCATGCTGCGTGCACCAGATTTGGTTGCTCACTCAGTACTGAGGCTCTCACACCCAGAAATGTTGCCCATGATTTAAAAACAAAAAATGGCGTCTTGTTTACAATAGCCCTGAGGAAGCTAATGTGAACCCCGTGTAGCCGTGGGACTTTTAAATCTTGCGTGGTACTCCCAACCCATCAATAGCTGTGGTGCACAATTCCGCGACAGATTCTCACCACAGCTGTTGATGTGTTGCGCATTTTAAAGGTTAAACTTTGCTTTGACTTAAAGTTATTTTAGCCTAGGTAAATGTCTGTATAGTTACTTGAAAGTTGCCAACTACTTATCTAGAGCTGTGACAAATTTTCTCATCATGCCTATGCTCTCTAATGAATAGGTCAAAGCAAAGTTTAACCCTTAAACCGCGCATATCATATATATATGATATCAGTGACAAAACCAAAACTGCGCACATCATTTATATATGCTTTCATATCTAGCGCTATAATTTAAACGCCCCACCTGGGATAGGGGCAGCTATAGCACAGCCACGACCAATAGTTGCCAGATGCCACCTAGACAAAAATCCAGGCCAACATTCTTGGGTGTTAGAGCGTCAGTATTGAGCAAGCCACCAAGGCTGGCGCACTCAGCACGAGCTCACAGCACCGCTGTTCAGCTTTTGGCCTACAAATGCCATAATATACATGATACTGCTATTATTTAGCGATGATAGTATCATAGAAGACCCCTGACTGTGATAAAATTGACCAGGGTTCTGATAATAGCAGGATTGTGGTGATATTTAGTGCTGTGCTCCATGGAGGGAGGAGTAAGGCTGTGGGAGGGAGGGATGTGGCATCGTCTTCTGACTGTGTGTGACCACCTTTATTGACTGCACTCACCATACCAGATTAGTGGTTCGCTATGGTGAACACAAATGTAGATACCTATATATAACGTGTGTATAGTGTGAGATAACAGCAAGAGGAGTAGGTTGGGAGCCGCCATTTTGGTGAGGGAGATGCGTCATCTGCACAACTTGTCATGTTGTTTACTGGTGGCCACTATGGTCTTTGGGCACCATACCAGCTTATTTGTTCAGGTATGGTGAATAAAACAGGTAGATACTTATATATAATGTGTGTATATAGCGTAATAACACCACAAACAATATTGTTGAAGGACAAATATTAGTGTGTCTGGCCTTGAGGGCAGCCGCCGATCAGCTGACTGTGTGAGTAGCTGCATCTTTGTGCCTTTACTCACCATGCAAGCTTAAATGTACAGTTATGGTGAACAAAACATGTAAATACGTATATATAACGTCTGTGTATAGTGAATAAATGCAAAAACAGTATTGTGGGAGGAGAATGAAGGCGAGAGAGGTGTTGTTGAGAGAGGGAGTGGCAGTGAGTGGCTCGCTGGTGTGTGGCAGTCACTCCTCGTTGCTTTTTGACTCACAAGACCAACTTAGTAGTTCATTATGGTAAACAAAACTTGCAGATACTTATATATAACCTGTGTATATAGTGCAACAACAGCAAAATTATTTGTTTATTGTTTTATGAACATAATAATTGAATCACTAATATGCACACCATAATATTGAGTACAGCGATAGTTCACACATTTTATGATATAAATATACCACAATTCACTGTATGGAATAATATTACTGCAAAAAACTAAGAAAAAATCAATCAGAGACATTGAAATAATTAGGTAATAATATATTTGTGGCAACTGCCGTCTGACAGCTCGGGCGGAGTAGACCTCGTCTGGCGAAGGCTCTGCCAACGCCCCTTTTTTGCCACACTTCCCTACCCTATTGCGGCTAAAATATGTCACCTACGAGTTTTTTGTTATTTTTTCCGTGATCAGGGAACAAAAATGAACATTTCTATAAAGACGAAAGAATTTTTTATATTTTTGTTGTTGTTGCGCCTGTGGGTGTTAATTCCATTTGGGCTCCTAGCGGTGTGAGGGTTAAGTTTAAAGGGATTAATAATATTTTTCTATATTTTGGTGACATTAGCAATTAGAAATTAACCTACACAGGGACAAATTTTATTTACATAGTGTAATATAATTAACATTTTAATGTGTTACACAAATTATCACCTATTCTTTCATTTGCTGCAGCACAGTGACGTTGTTGGCATGCTGGTCCCATCCTCTACCTTGGCATTCCTCGAGCTTGGCTGGTCAGGGTCAAAAAGAGGACATGTCACCATCCGGCTAGCCCCTGACACTCCACTTGCTAGACAGTTTGTTTTGTTGTGTACAGGCCAGCAAGGTCACTCCTTCATAAACACTAAATTGTTTGATAGACGAAACCATCACCCGTCGTGGGAGTGCGTAATAGGGGGAGACTATGAAGAAAAAGATGGTAATGGAGGTGCCCCATTGTTACCCGACCTGAACTGGGGTTACCAGTCATCGGGCAGAGCTGTCGGGTCCCTGTTTCCAGCAGGGAGTAGCCATAGTGCCCAGTTCGCCATCCTCACCAGGACCCTTCATGATGGTCAGCTGATGCCAGACGTCTTTGAGGAGGTTGTTAGTGAGCTGAATGTAGTGAGAGAGGCGGCCAATAACAGTAATATCACAGACGTAACTGTGATGGACTGTGGTGTTGTGTTGCCACTATAGTTCAGTGTGCCATCTGTGCCATTCATATGATGTTTACTTGTGGCCAATTGTGTTGGCACTGATGTTTACTGTGTAGCCACCCATCGCAGGCACCCATCACAGCCACCCATCACAGCCACCCATCACAGCCACCCATTGCAGGCACCCATCACAGCCACCCATCACAGCCACCCATCACAGCCACCCATCACAGCCACCCATCACAGCCACCCATCACAGCCACCCATCACAGCCACCCATTGCAGGCACCCATCACAGCCACCCATCGCAGCCACCCATCGCAGGCACCCATCGCAGCCACCCATCACAGGCACCCATCACAGCCACCCATCGCAGCCACCCATCGCAGCCACCCATCACAGCCACCCATCGCAGCCACCCATCACAGTCACCCATCGCAGCCACCCATCGCAGCCACCCATCGCAGCCACCCATCGCAGGCACCCATCGCAGCCACCCATTGCAGGCACCCATCACAGCCAACCATCGCAGCCAACCATTGCAGCCACCCATCACAGCCACCCATCGCAGCCACCCATCGCAGGCACCCATCGCAGGCACCCATCGCAGGCACCCATCACATCCACCCATCACATCCACCCATCACAGCCACCCATCACATCCACCCATCGCAGGCACCCATCACAGCCACCCATCACAGCCACCCATCGCAGCCACCCATTGCAGCCACCCATCACAGGCACCCATTGCAGCCACCCATCACAGGCACCCATCACAGCCACCCATCACAGCCACCCATCACAGCCACCCATCACAGGCACCCATATAAGAGGCTGTCATAGTATATGCCCCATACACTGTATATGAGCAAAGTGCTTGCAGGAGCAACAGTCCTGCAAGCACAACTTGGCAAGTACTTACATTTTGTGTTGATCATATCCCCTCTCCTTCATTCTTTACTGTAGCTGTTAGTGTGTTCCCTTAACGTGTTATAATAGATCAGTTGTCTCAATTTCAGTACTAGGCATGTTTCAAACTTATATTTTATGTCTTATTTCACTAGTGCTAATCTCATGCAGTGCACCAGTAGTGGGCTGGAGGTTGTCACCTGTACTGACCTAGTTGTACTTGCAGGGGTTGAGCTCTGGCTCTTTGGTCCCGCCTCTCAACCGTCAATCAACAGGTGTACAGGTTCCTGAGCCTATTGGGCTCTATCATATCTACATTTGAAACTGTGTATGGAGTCAGCCTCCACCACATCACTTCCTAATGCATTCCATTTGTCAACCACTCTGACACAAAAAAAGTTCTTTCTAATATCTCTGTGGCTCATTTGGGCACTCAGTTTCCACCTGTGTTCCCTAGTGCGTGTGCCCCTTATGTTAAACAGCCTGTCTTTATCAACCCTGTCGATTCCCTTGAGAATCTTGAATGTAGTGATCATGTCCCCCCTAACTCTTCTGTCTTCCAATGAAGTGAGGTTTAGTTCCTGTAGTCTCTCCTCGTAGCCCATACCTCTCAGCTCGAGTACTAGTCTGGTGGCAAACCTTTGAACCTTTTCCAGTTTAGTCCTATGCTAGACTAGATATGGACTCCATGCTGGAGCTGCATACTCTAGGATTGGTCTGACATATGTGCTATATAATGTTCTGAAAGATTCCCTACACAAGTTTCTAAAGGCCGTTCTTATGTTACCAGTAGTGTGCTGGAGGTTGTTGTCACCTGTGTAGCACCAGTAGTGGTCTGGAGGTTGTTGTCACCTGTGTAGCACCAATAGTGGGCTGGAGGTTGTCACCTGTGTAGCACCAGTAGTGGGCTGGAGGTTGTCACCTGTGTAGCACCAGTAGTGGACTGGAGGTTGTCACCTGTGTAGCACCAGTAGTGGTCTGGAGGTTGTTGTCACCTGTGTAGTACCAGTAGTGGGCTGGAGGTTGTCACCTGTGTAGCACCAGTAGTGGGCTGGAGGTTGTCACCTGTGTAGCACCAGTAGTGGGCTGGAGGTTGTTGTCACCTGTGTAGTACCAGTAGTGTGCTGGAGGTTGTCACCTGTGTAGCACCAGTAGTGGGCTGGAGGTTGTCACCTGTGTAGCACCAGTAGTGGGCTGGAGGTTGTTGTCACCTGTGTAGTACCAGTAGTGGGCTGGAGGTTGTCACCTGTGTAGCACCAGTAGTGGGCTGGAGGTTGTCACCTGTGTAGTACCAGTAGTGGGCTGGAGGTTGTCACCTGTGTAGCACCAGTAGTGGGCTGGAGGTTGTTGTCACCTGTGTAGTACCAGTAGTGGTCTGGAGGTTGTTGTCACCTGTGTAGTACCAGTAGTGGGCTGGAGGTTGTCACCTGTGTAGCACCAGTAGTGGGCTGGAGGTTGTTGTCACCTGTGTAGCACCAGTAGTGGGCTGGAGGTTGTCACCTGTGTAGTACCAGTAGTGGGCTGGAGGTTGTCACCTGTGTAGTACCAGTAGTGGGCTGGAGGTTGTCACCTGTGTAGCACCAGTAGTGGGCTGGAGGTTGTTGTCACCTGTGTAGTACCAGTAGTGGGCTGGAGGTTGTCACCTGTGTAGTACCAGTAGTGGGCTGGAGGTTGTCACCTGTGTAGTACCAGTAGTGGTCTGGAGGTTGTTGTCACCTGTGTAGTGCCAGTAGTGGGCTGGAGGTTGTCACCTGTGTAGTACCACTAGTGGGCTGGAGGTTGTCACCTGTGTAGCACCAGTAGTGGTCTGGAGGTTGTTGTCACCTGTGTAGTACCAGTAGTGGGCTGGAGGTTGTCACCTGTGTAGTACCAGTAGTGGGCTGGAGGTTGTCACCTGTGTAGTACCAGTAGTGGGCTGGAGGTTGTTGTCACCTGTGTAGCACCAGTAGTGGTCTGGAGGTTGTTGTCACCTGTGTAGTACCAGTAGTGGGCTGGAGGTTGTCACCTGTGTAGCACCAGTAGTGGGCTGGAGGTTGTTGTCACCTGTGTAGCACCAGTAGTGGGCTGGAGGTTGTTGTCACCTGTGTAGTACCAGTCAGCCCGTCCTCCAAAAATGGGGTGGTAAATGTAAGAAGACAATTAAGTGCAATTATGTACTATTCATAGCAGTTAGGAATTGTACTTATTTTCACTTAGTATTAAATCGTACTGTCAAATATATTGTGAATATTTGAGTTTACCTGAAAAACTGAATAGAAAACGACAACCTCACCTAACCGTCTTAGTTTTTGAAGATAATAATTTTATTGCTTCCTAATTACAATTAGTACTTAACTTATAGCTATATTGATATTACAGTTTTATAAAACTAATAAAACAAAACTAAAATATATCAATAAATTGTAAATTAACTCAGGATATTTTAAAATTTTGCATAAAATCTATGTTGTTTAATAAACCTGAAAAAGAAATTCCTGATATTTAAAACTTGTGTATTGCAAATCGAAATTGAAAACGTCATCCTAAAATTCTGAGTGACTTAACAGAAAACGAGAAAAATTAAAGCGGGGGAGGGAGTTGGGTCAATGTAACAGCCCCGTAAGTGCAATTATGCACTGCTTATTACAGTAAGAAAGTGTACTTATTACACTTAGTATTAAATCGTACTGTCAATTCGGAGGATGGGTTGTACCAGTAGTGGGCTGGAGGTTGTTGTCACCTGTGTAGCACCAGTAGTGGTCTGGAGGTTGTTGTCACCTGTGTAGCACCAGTAATGGGCTGGAGGTTGTCACCTGTGTAGCACCAGTAGTGGGCTGGAGGTTGTTGTCACCTATGTAGCACCAGTAGTGGTCTGGAGGTTGTTGTCACCTGTGTAGCACCAGTAATGGGCTGGAGGTTGTCACCTGTGTAGCACCAGTAGTGGTCTGGAGGTTGTTGTCACCTGTGTAGTACCAGTAGTGGGCTGGAGGTTGTTGTCACCTGTGTAGCACCAGTAGTGGTCTGGAGGTTGTTGTCACCTGTGTAGCACCAGTAATGGGCTGGAGGTTGTCACCTGTGTAGCACCAGTAGTGGGCTGGAGGTTGTCACCTGTGTAGCACCAGTAGTGGGCTGGAGGTTGTCACCTGTGTAGTACCAGTAGTGGGCTGGAGGTTTTCACTTGTGTAGCACCAGTAGTGGACTGGAGGTTGTCACTTGTGTAGTACCAGTAGTGGGCTGGAGGTTGTTGTCACCTGTGTAGTACCAGTAGTGGACTGGAGGTTGTCACCTCTGTAGTACCAGTAGTGGACTGGAGGTTTTCACTTGTGTAGCACCAGTAGTGGACTGGAGGTTGTCACCTGTGTAGACAAGAACCTCCAGCCCACTACCAGTAACTTCACAATTTAAATAACCTTTAAAGGTTTGCACTTAAATCTTAAAAAGCAGAACTAAAACTTGTTATACATGGCAAAAAGTCCACTCAAATATATCATCTTGTATATCATTCACAAAATAAGATTGTCCGAGATCATTTACCTAGGTCCCCAAGATGTTGAATGTTATTGTAGCTTCACTTGCCCCTGTGGACACCTTGTTCAATACACTGAGGAAGGTCTCATTAATTTGTCATTGTGTGTCTGCCTAGGAATTGTGGTGGGTGGACTGTTACTGTGCTACCTCACTACTTCCCCCCTCCCTTCCTCCCATCCCTCACTTTTGTCTTGTTTCGTTCTGTCATGTTGTGCTATCTCTAGTACCAAATACCATCACCCATTATCATCACAGGTAGTGGACTGTGTTGTGCTATCTCTAGTACCAAATACCATCACCCATTATCATCACAGGTAGTGGACTGTGTTGTGCTATCTCTAGTACCAAATACCATCACCCATTATCATCACAGGTAGTGGACTGTGTTGTGCTATCTCTAGTACCAAATACCATCACCCATTATCATCACAGGTAGTGGACTGTGTTGTGCTATCTCTAGTACCAAATACCATCACCCATTATCATCACAGGTAGTGGACTGTGTTGTGCTATCTCTAGTACCAAATACCATCACCCATTATCATCACAGGTAGTGGACTGTGTTGTGCTATCTCTAGTACCAAATACCATCATCCATTATCATCACAGGTAGTGGACTGTGTTGTGCTATCTCTAGTACCAAATACCATCACCCATTATCACAGGTGGTGGGCTGTGTTGTTTTATCACTCCTAGTA